AGGTTTCCGAGTCCTCTATGAAGGCCGTGAACCACGAGACCCTCTTGGCCGACTGTATCCAGGGTCTTGTCAACACTGAGATGCTCAAGCCCACCGATGAGATCGTCTCCACCTATCACCGCCGCTTCGACCACGGCTACCCCACTCCCAGTCTGGAGCGTGAGGGTGCTCTTACCCAGATCCTGCCCAAGCTTCAGGCCAAGGACATCTGGACTCGTGGTCGCTTCGGTAGCTGGCGCTACGAGGTCGGCAACCAGGACCACTCCTTCATGCTGGGTGTAGAGGCTGTTGACAACATTGTCAACGGTGCTGTTGAGCTGACCCTCAACTACCCCGACTTTGTCAATGGTAGACAGAATACTGAGCGCCGCCTGGTTGACGGTGCCCAGGTCTTCGCCAAAAAGAACTAAACGTGCGCGAAGTGATTATAGACGACACATATTTAATACTTTGAAATGACCGGGGGATCAAAAATGATACACAGGGAGTCTGATTTTTTTTGTCCGCCCATAAACCCGCTGTTTTGTCCCCATTTCATATTCCCCTTTTCTTTGTTTATTTGTCTGCTTGAGAGCGATGTACGGGAGATATCTGTGCTGGCATCTTTCTTGTTCTGAGTGATGGTGAAACAACCAGCTTTTCTCTTCTTCTACATTATTTGCTAGAATATCCCAAGATTTATGAATGAGCAAGAATTCTTAGACTGTTATGTTCCCGAAATGAGCTGTGATATGCGACAGGTGCTTGTGATCTCGCCCATCTATATTTAGATGCATGTCATTGCCACTGGCCACCTCCGGCTGGGCCCTGATCGGCCTTGATTTCGGGACCAGTTTGAAACATCAGTCGGGTGGACATGAGCTTGTCATTCGCGTGTCTCATGTGAGACGTCTTTTGCTATTCTCGGCTCAACCGCGGTGCCTCGATGCACCGATAGATGTTTCGCATCCGGCTTGCCCGATCAAGCCATCTGGTGTGATGTGGTGAGTCGGTGGTCTGTAAACACCGCGACCCGAATTTCCTACCGTGACTCTTAGGGGGGCGTATCAATCTATCTATATCAAACCAATCGGCCTTACTACACTACTCACAGTCAGTTGCAGAGACCCGGGCCACTGCACCGATGGATCGTGGATCGACCCCCAGTGAGCGAGACCTAACCCTGCCCTGCAACAAAACAAAACTCACAAGTGTTCCACCGAGAATCTAGCCTCCATTATTTGTAAGGCTGACCCTGTCCCCCATGACCGCGCAGCTCTAGCCCCAAGTTTTAGCCCAGCGCAGCTCAGCTCAGCTCAATCTTTCGGTCGGTATCATGCCATGCGTCCGTCATGTGTACTCTGCCGCTTCTTTGCGTAGCTTGGCTTGGGAGGTCTAGCTTGTAGACTAGGTAGGTTTTAGCTGGATTGGTTGTTTTGGCTGTGCGGTGCGATGCGGTGCGGTGCGGCGTTGTGCTGTTGGTCTTGAGTATAAATGTGAATGGAGTTGGTACGGTGGGTGGGTGGTTGTGGTTGTGGTTGTGGTTGTGGTTGTGGTTGTTATTGTAGCTGTCTAGTTAATGCAGTCGAGGTAGTACCGGTATGCTTTTCCCTGCTGTATGTGCATGGGTCTAGGAGGAAGATGATATGATACTACCTACCGTACTCCACAAGATTAGGTTAAATCCTACAGTTCCATAATTCGAAACTAGAGATTAGTCTTATTTTGTTTGATTGTCAGTTTATCGATCAATACCTTGTTACCTATTCGACGTTGAACTCCACCGTACAGTAACCACCGGTAGTTATACCTAAGGTACTTGTAGATAATTGTTAGCCTCAGGTACTCGTAGTTATTCAGGCACCAACCCACCAACCCACCAAACCATCCCAATCCTAAACGAACCTTAGCCCGGCTCCACCGCCGCCGACACGGTGGACCAAACAATCAGGAATAGGAACCCGAACTTTGCACCAGCCAGTCCTACTCGTAGCAGGCTGACAGCCCACCGGGGACGCGTAAGTGCTTTGTTGCCATCGGCATCAAGACAAAACCGCAAAGTGCATGCAAAGTCTACGGGGAGCAGAGGAGCAGTGTTGACGACACCACAGCCTGCGATGGCGAAAGATTGGGGCCATTGTCTTTACTTCTCGTTATCTTTTTTTTGGGTCAATAAGAGTTTCGGAGAACATTCTTACTGATCACCTCTATTGAGAGGTTGTTGTCGTGGCCTGATAACGTGGACTTGGAACCACACTAATTACAGTCCGTCCCCGAGTCTTGGCCTCAGCACCAAAGATAGAAATAGGGCAATCCCTGGACGACTGCTAGACAGTGGGCACAACTGTGCATGTCATAAGGCAGTGCACCAAACCAAATCTAGCATGACATACTGATGTCCTGTTTGCTACTGATTACTTCGCATTAACAATTCCATTGCCAGGATCTGCACAAGTTGAGTGTTCGCACATTGTCCCAACCAACGCCTTTGCTCCTATGTATGCTGCACTGTACCATACCATCTGAACGAATTATTGCATGCCAGTAGCTGCACCTTCAAGCTGACGTACCTCTCCGCCCACTGTTCCATACTCGACAGCCAAAGGAGCGCATCCGACTGGTCAGCCACAAGCTTGTTGAGAGACATGGCTCCGCTCTTCCGAGGGGCAAGGTACTCGTAGCTCTCACTCCACCAAATCTTTGAAGTCCTCTGACTCTGAGCTCGCGAGCATCTGGTACATCGCCATGTTGACGTACTTTTCGAAATTTGCCGCCTCTACCTCAATCGAGTGGAGGGCCGCTTCCCGATGCTGTCCAATGGGAAATCCCATCAGAGGTCTTCTCAGCGCACGCCTGAGTGCGGGAATACGTACATCTTCCTCTTCCTCGCAAGGGTGGGCTTGTGTGGCAGACATTCTCGCACTCATTGGTTGCATCAGGGTATGTGACTTCCCATTGCCAGAAAGGGCCAATGATTGAGCAAGTGCTGTGGGCGTCGCGAATGCAGACCTTGGTGGCTGATTTTCCTGACGGAACTGGTGGATACAGAGAGATCAGCCCTGCGGCTGTACAGACTCCTTAGCTTCCCCATGAATAGACCTGTACTTACCTCATCTTTGCCGGCAATGGTCTTGGGTGGATCCCCGTAGCCCTGGCAGGAACCGGTTCCAGGAGCTCGGTCTGGCACTCGGAGCGATTGGCCTATGTCTGTCTGGGCACTGGGTGACAGCTTGTCAATAACAGCAAGGTTGATTCCTTTCAGTTTCACCAGCTTGGTTGGACGCTGGGTGTTCTCAGGGCCACCATTGTCATCCGGACAACCGTGCAAGCGTGCTTTTGTCGATCGAGAATGAGGACGAGGATCAGGCTGCGATTCAGTGACGGAAGTTGCCTTATCATCTAGAGATGTGGGATTGTGGGCTCCCAGCGCGCAACTGTCACAGCTTGGCACAGCATCACCCAAGAGGTTACTGGCCCGCTGGCCGCGTGTTGGTCTTTTTGAGGATCGCAACTTGGTCTTGCCACCATCGACCATTGTGTCTGTGATCGATGTGCCTCTGAATTCCTCTTTGTCTGTCAGAGAAGGTGAGATGGGCTTTGTGCTTCGTCCCGGTTGAATTGTTACCAAGGAACGTGGGTGATTCTCGATATCCGATTTTGTGCCACGTTCTTCGTCTGCTGCGTCCAGGTTTGTATGGGTCCGATTCAGGTCCACTACATCTCAGCGGCACATCAGCCTTATTCTCTGAACAGGCCACAACTTGTGGTCCGCTCATTCATACCTGACTGCTGCGTTGGCTGTTTCTCAAGCAATAGATTGGTGAGAAGATTAGTGAGAAGCACAGCACGAGTGTCTAGCGGTTCTGGAAGAAAATTTGTAGAGAATGAGCCCGATCGATGGTTCAGAGAACAAGAATCAAATGAGACAGGAGTCTGAGAGCAAGGCCTGGGAAAATGTGTTTCACCTGTGACATCACCCCTGACACTGTTAGACACCGCTGTGGGTGGTGTTAAACAGCCAGACAAAGAGGTATCTGGATATTTATAACAGCCCGGTGAATATCGATTTGCTTCTCCATTTCGACCCCCTAAGGAGGTGTCCTGGCCTTCTATTGAAAGCCGACATTCACCGTGCACATCCACATTTTTCCCAGCGGACCTTGCCGTCTCTAATGACAAAGCGGATGGCTGAACAATCACCGGCGAGCCTGTGTCTTTTGTCGACGAAGGGGAAGCGGATGCCCCTGGTGGGCACTCAGTCCTGGTGTTATGGTCTCCTCCATCTCTGCCACGCGGCGACGAGCCGTCTTCAAGAGCCTCGTCTGGAGCCGAATAACAAATAGAATCTGGCGGCGAAACGGACGGTGCGGAGAAGAGGTCCGAGTCAGACTCAAGAAAGGTATCGTCCTCGCCATCATCAAAGCTGCCGTCATTCAGATATTGATCGTGTTGGTGCCATTCCGCCAGGCGACTATGGCGGTTGAGAAGCCGCTGGAGGTGATAGCGTAGGTCTCGGTCTCCGAGGGTTATCCGAGTGGGCTTGTATCGGATCATGGCTCTACCTTGGAGGATTCCGATTATCTGGTGTGATTCTTACCTCGTTCTTCTTGGGGGATGTTCGGATTCAACTTCCGATGTGAGATTAGGCTGGGGGGTATTTTGTGCTACATAGTAATCCCATTTTTTTCCAGGTGAGATTATCTCCTAGGTATACTATCATCTAGTCTGCGGAAAGTACTGAGTGAGAGATACAGCATGAATCAAGGAAGGAGCAATGTGGTGAATGGGCGGTTGCTGCCTCAAGATGGTAAGTCATGGTTGTGGCTGAGTGTGTGTAGTGTGAGTGAGTAGTTCAGACAACTAGATGTCTTGAATCTTGGACAAATAGGCACCAGTCCGACGATCCGGCGATGGATCGAGCAGGACAGGAACGAAATCTATTTTTAAACTCCAACTTATGAACGGTACGAGCTCTGCGACAGAGAATGTGGTCGCATTGACTTGTGGACTGTGAAGAACCCGGAACTTGTTCTTACTGTGTTACCTAAAACCTACCATGGTATTTATCCATAGACCGGCGCAGATAATCATTTATGATGAACTTCCGGCAAAGCCACTAGTCATTGATCATTTTAATAGCTTATCGAATGGGGTCTACCAAAGAGTATCAAATAGGTGCGCATCTAGTATCAAGCGCAATGGATTGGTTTGGCAATTGACAGGGGTGGACCTTTCTGCCTAATTAAAGATGGATGGACTGACTGGGACCTCATCCGATATCATTATGGACAAGATGAAAGTGTTGCTAGACAAGAAGATAATCTAGGTTTAGGGAACAAAAGTCATGTTCAATAATTTAAGAATGGTAGTTGTCGAGTAGTTGCAAGAATTCATAATTGCAGAGCATTCGTAATTGAGCGACAGAGTCAAATTAAGGTGAGGTGGTGGTGTTGATGATAAGTAAGATGGATGTATGTTCCTGAGGCTACCATCATCACTGTTGCTGTCAGCCTCACCCATCATCCTTCATCCATCATCCATCCTCCCATCATCTTCCCATCTTCCCATCTTCCCCATCTTCCCCATCTTCCCCATCTCTCTCTTCCTCGTCCTCTTCCTCTTCCTCATTCCTCTCAACCTTCAACAACCTCCTCTCCCTCCCTTCTCTCCTCCTCCACACCACTATCCGAACCTCTTCTCTCGTTCTTCCAATCCCCTCTTCTGGCGCAGATCTCTCGCTTGTTGTGCCTCGATGCCTCCCCGTCCGTATCTTCTCCGACCGCCGCCATAGTTCACTCACCATCCCCTTCCCTCGGCCGCCCTCTACCCCCCTCCTCTCTCGCTATCTCTCCCTCTTGCTCTCGTCCACTCTTTTTATTTTTCTGGACCTTCTCCTGCTGCTTCCTTTCCTCTCCTCAGGCCTTCCCCCCGTCTTCCTGTTTTATCCTCTTCATTCTCTGTTTCATCTTGTTGGTGGTGGGTGCCACGGTGGTGCCTGACCCAGAACATAGTGACTGTTCCCCCTCTTCTCCGTCTTCCATCTCCATCTTCGCTTTCCCCCCCCCCCTCTTCTTCCTCCCCAAACTTCACCTTCCCCAATTCCCTTCTTCCCGCCCGCAACCCCCTTTCATTCCGCAACACCTCCCCCC